TTTCAAGGAAAGATTAGAAAAATTACAATGTTTACATGTTTTAATTCTTCATGGTAGCTTTTTGTTTACAATTAATGTTTGTCTGCTTTAACTTTGTTTGGATTAGGCCCGGAAATATTGATGTCATATAAAGAATATCAAGAATAATCAGGAATCACGATTTTAAAATACCACCACAACCTCAGCCGGGTTTTATACAAAGATAAACAGATGGATGACATAGATTGAACACAACGTCAACATTGACCTAGGATACTGCAATTAGACAAACCATCCTTTTATGAAATCGTAACCACAACTGAAAATATGACTTTTATGAATATTAGTTTAAATTAACTAATATGCATTTACGATGTACATTCATTCAATTAGACTAGGTAATTATCAAGGATAGAACTGATAACGGTACCTATATACAATAAACATTGAAAATTACAACATTAGCTTTACTAGCGTGTTTACTTTTTATATTCCTGCTACATGTGACCAGTTCTTTTTTTCAAATGAATGTTATTTGAACCAAACAGCTGTTTCAAAACAAACTGTTATTGTTTTTACTTTTCTTTGTTTACGCTTATTTATTTAGCAATTAATGCAGTGAAATTGATATATAGGATAGGCGTGACGATTAGTTTTGATGTTAGGACACCAAAGTTAAACTATGTGTACTGTGAATTTTATTGGATATTATCGTTTTATTTTAGGTTGTTTCTATTCAGACCTACTGGAAATTGTGTATAGTAGTTGTATTGTGGTGATAATAATTATGGAAGAGGCAGGTATGCTATGGAAGGTGGTATCGTTGCCTAGGTCTATACACTTCTCAAATGACTATTACTCTCTCTACTGTAGGCTACTTATAATCAGTGTGCGTCTGTGCGAATCGGCTGCAAATCTCACTTCAACGCTTTTCACATCGTAAAAATTGCAGAATTGCTGTTTTATTGTAAAATTATCGGATTTAAAATGCATATCGTATAGGTATAATATGATGGAATAAAAACATTTTGGTCACACAACATTTGTTTAGAAGATGATTTTTCACATTAAAACTGCAAGAAACTTTGTCTTCATATGTGTAAACTGCCTGATCTGAATTGTACACGGTTTTAACTGACTACTGAATTCCCGTACGTAGGACGGGCTAACAACTCGTTGTGATTTAATTGAATTTGTCCAAATGAAGTACAGTATTTGCAATGGGTTTTTCTGGTTTTAAAATGGATTTTCTTCTGCATCGTGTCATGTTTTGCAATATAATGTTCTATTACCAAATCAGTGGAAAATCCTAATATCACAGTAACTCTTAAAATTATTTCTTTTGGAGTTAACTTATATCTATTGTATGGGTTGGTTTCTGCCTTTTTTACCACTTCTTGGAGATTGTACGTAGGTGATATTCGTTGGCATATTGCATCTGTATATTTTTCAATATACAGAAATTACTAAATTAAATTAAATTATACAGACAAAACCTGGGTTGGTGTAATTATTATAATGGAAAAGAGCGAGAAATCCTGGACAATTTGATATAGGCTAAAAATAAAACTGAATTAACACTGTTCTACATTTCATGAGCAATCATTGAAATAACCGATTTGCAAACAATGGAAACATAGAAAAAGTCATAGAACACAACCAAGTAGAATAAATAGAAATAATGTTTTTTTTTTCATTTATAATCGTTATCATTGACAACATAATGCGGCTATGAGAGGGAAAAATTTGTAGAAACACTAAAAAAACAAGATCAGCTTTTTGAAAAAAGATAAGATATTTACAAAAGATTTTGATTATATCTAACTGTTGTGTAGATTGTGCGTATTTCCATAATCTTTGAGTCGCCTGTAATGCTTCGCAATTGCTCGAATTCGAGCAACAGGTAGACTAGTCTAAATATTGAATTGGAAACTTTGTCTCCACTAATTTGAGAGAACGGCTGGGCGTAGAAACTTGGTAGAGGTGTCCAAAGAACGGTCTTGGTCTGTAGATGAGTTATCAAAATAAAAACGAAGTAAATTCGCTTAGGGCTCTGCCCCAGACGCCTTTAAAGATCCCTCCACATATTTGTTTACATTTTGGTCATGTGGATAATACTTTTTAATAAAACAGCTGTTAATTTTAAAATTGTGTTTTAAACAACACACATTTATTAGGAGTTACTGAATTGTCCAAAAGAAGTATTTGCAATGTTATTTTCTGATTTTAAAATTGATTTTCCTCTGTATCATTTGTGTTGCAACATAAAGTTCCATTACGAAATCAGTGGAAAATCCTTTTATCACAATAACTCCTACAATTGTTTCTTATTGAACTATATCTATTTTACGGGTTGGTGTCTGCCTTTTTCACACCTTTTCCCTATATTTTATCATATTATTCTAGACAGATCATCATAGGTTCATGAGATTATTGTCATACATGTTTCAATCATTGGAAAATTCTTCGCTTGTGTAATACAATACAAAATAATACAAGTGCAGAAGGGCACGGTGCCCATTTGAGCCGTATCCATATTTTGTTAAATTAATAGTGGTTTACAGCAACTGGATAAAACATTTTACAATATTTATGTAGAAATTTGTGCATGATTTAGAAAGTCATTAAGCTGGAAAACTGCAATATACTGCAGACTTTTCAGAGAGGTTACTTCGATGTATTCATTAAGCTTAGTGAAAACGTAATATAGATATGTATATACAAATAAGAACTTGAACTCTTAGAGAGCCTTTGAATGTTATTCGACTAACGAAAAGGGTTGTGCATGTTTACTAGCGCTACTCAGCAACAAAAACCATTTAATTTATCTCTAAAATATATATTCTTAGTGCATTGAGCAACAACCTAAAAAATCTATGTAACTTGCCCATATAATATAGTTACAAAATGCTCAAACTCGCATTGTGACATTTATAATTCGGCTTATATTTCTCCAACAGAAAATCCATCTGCAGAAGAATTTTATTGTGCTCTTAGTATGTCATTCGCATTATTTGTTGCCAATGAAGCTGCACTACCATAAAAATGAGGAGGCCCCTAACAGTTCAAGAATAAAAGCCAACTTCACTTCAAGTATATTCCACTACACCTAACATTCCGTAGAGAGATTATATTGCCCCAGTCAGAAAATCAGAAATCAGAAATCCTTTATTGTCCTTAAGCAAAACAATCTTGCAATAGACATGGCCACATATTATGGTAAAATAGGACAGTAACCCAGTCAGACTGGATTAATAATATTTTCACTCTATCATCGCAGTTAGCTGAAGTTACATAAAACCTCAAGAGTAACCGTCGATTTCGACGGGTTTCCCCTAGTTTGCATTAAAAACCATAGACATTTGATCACAGAAATAGTAACAACTCTGTAATGTAAAACGTAAAAGTATGCAATTAAATTTAACAAAAATAAGATACACTTTTATGATATTGCTTAAGTTTAAGTGCTACCACTACCACAGACTATAGAACCAATTAATAATTTGACTGAATTTGAACTGGACCACTGGACGACTGAATGCTGGGCCGGGTAGAGGGTGGGACAGGGGGGCAGAGCACCGAGGCCCTGGGCTCTGAAAGGGACTTAGGCCGATCAAATGTAAAATCTTTTCTGTACTGCTACAGTAAAAAAATTTAGCAAGGTTAGCCAGTTCACTTAGTAATTTTTGAATGGAATAAAGTTGCAACTGTGAGCACGAGAATTAATCAAACCATCATGCATTTTTTATATGTGTAACAAAACGGCACGGAGGCAGCTGGACACTAAAACAGTAAAATAGAGGGCCCGGGATTGCTCAGCTACGGGGCCCGTGACTGCTCTCACCGGCCCGGACTGAATGTACATAAACCATATGCCATTATTAGTTCCAATGTTAAAGGGGTCAGAGATAATAAGTATACTTTGACCTTATTACTAGAGGTTAAAATACCTTATAATCCGTCAGTGTGATCAAAAAGTCACCGATGAAAGGCGACCGGTTTCAACCCATCAAAGGGGTCATCATCAGGCGTTGAATGGACACTTAATTACTCCGAAGAGGTTGTCATAAAGTCAATAAATACAAAACGAAGAACAGTTAAATACCTACTTAAACACATTTTTACAAAAACACGTGTGGCCACAAATTGACTGCGCAGCGGACGGTATGTGCACACTGCACATTGAGTTACAAGTCCAGACTGTCGTCAATGCCGTCTTCGTTTTGTCCATCTGTCATCTCCCTCCCCTTCTTCCAGCTCTTATCAGGTCCTTTCCGTGTTGTTATCATTCTTTCAATGCCGACTGCTGTTTCATATAATAAATTGCTTTCAAAAGATGCTTTTTCGTTCAAAATGTGTTGGGGATTTTTCTTGCCAGCTTTGTAGATCTCAAATTCTTCTATTAAGATTAAGTGTTTGCCTTTAGTTCTGTGAATTTGTAAAATTTCTAAATTATTTTCTATTGATGTATATGAATGGTTGTTCGTTATTAGGTGCTCAGCAAAAGCAGAATTATTTTTCTGGGTGGATTTCTTCGGAAGGTGTTCTTTGAAACGGGCTTTGAAAGAGCGCGCAGTTTGACCTATATACAAACTAGGACAGGTGTCACAATTAATTTTGTAAACACCTGTTAGCTCAGTTTTGTCAGAAGAGGGTTTTCTTTTAGGATGGATGACAATTTGTTAGAGGTCCTAAAAGATAACTTAACATTGTTTCTTGACAGCTCATTTTTTAAAGTGTTGTTTAGACTAGTGCCATATTCTGTTAAAGTATGTCGACCATGTCAGACAAATTAATACTTACACTTTACATAAATTTACACTTATACTTTGACCATTTAAAGTCAATGATGCCAAAATTGTAACCATTTCAGACAAAGAAGGTAATTACATTCCTAAATTTGTTACGTGCTTTATATAGTATGCCGCGCCGTGTACACTACCGTCATACAAGTTGGGCTTGGCATAGAAATGAAATCTCAGAGGCTTAAATGTTTACTTACAGATCGAGACGTCACTGTCGTCTTCTTCTGTCAGTTCCAGTTGTTAATTTGTTTAATTTGGGTTAAAATATTTTTGCTTAATTTAATCACGCACTTGTATTGTTTGATTTAAGTTGATCGTGTTGTGATTTTTATTAGCTTATATTATAATAATTGAATTGTCTTGCCCTTCTATCCTGGTGGAATCTTCTATTCATCCACCTTTTCTTTGTTAGCAATCCAGGATGATTCGCGATGCCTTCTTGGAATCGAATTTGAATCATTGAATTCAATTTATTTCATCATAATAATCAGAAACATACCAAGTTTTCTGGTGCTTCAAATAAACTAGTACAATATGGGTAAGTAGGAATTTTAGGTTAAAACACTAGCTTCAGCATGTTGCTTATGAACACTGCATCCCAAGCTTTATGTAGGCTGTGTGTGCTTTTTTTAATCATCCAATGCTATTAACTGATGTAAATAAAAACATAGTAGTTTTTGCTTATTTATTGCACTCGTCACTCATTGCTTTTTCACTACACAAGGATAGGCCTAACTATTTCTTTCTATACAATTGACAAGGTTTAGCGGACAAGTTACACCAGTAGACCTAGACCTATACTTTTATATAGGTACACTAAGCTAGTATTCAAACACAGTAAAATAATCTTAGTGCTCTCCAAAAATGGGATGTCTTTGTGGTTTGCTAACAAGTTAAAAGTGGTTTAGCTTAAGGCCTATCTGAGCCTATAACTTAATAGATATGCATATCTAAGCCCCATATGCCTAACTGACTACGTTGTATCGGTAGATCCAAATTTAAAACCTAGCTATGCTAGTAATAAGAGGTATTTCACAGAGGGGAAATGGAAAAAATGTTTAAATCCGACTCCGTGAAGCGAACTAGAAATAGGTAAACCAACTTAGTGATAGGTGTGGTGTAGTTCTGTTAACTATGATATCCGACTTCATTGTTCTATCGAACATAAATGTATCGATTTAAATTGATAACCAAAAACCAATATTTCTCTATCGTTTCAAACACAGGCAAGTACAGTAGGCTAGGTCTATGCTATTTTCACAGACTTTTTTTTAGAGCATAGAGTAGTGAGTAAACTTATATGGTTTGATTGATGGGTATAATAATAATTGGTATTATACAGGGTGATTCAAAAAGGACTTTACAACTTTGAGAATTCATATAAATCTTATTAAACAAGGTACAGAGCTGGTTTTGGTGTTGTTTTAAAGGAAAACACTTCAAGTTTTTTACCTTAAACTAAAGATGTTCCATGTGACTTCCTTTGGATTTGGGGAAAATAATTATTTAGGTATGAAAAAATAGTGAAAACCGTTAAAAATTTGAGAGAAATTTACAAAATTTTTAAAGTATGGCGTTTTTTGACGGTAAAGGACTGCGATTTTCGAAAAACGCATAATAAGTGTCTTGTAGGATATTTAATTCTGAACCTACGTTTTGTCCTCAAATCGTTTCTAGCTCTTACCGTTTTCGAGCTATAGCCGTTTGAAAAAAACGTGTTTTGTTGTTTTCAGAGGTCCGCCATTTTGGATTTTTGGGGGGGGTTGAAATTTGAAAATGCGACTTTTTGGAATTTTATGGGTAGTTTGGGACCAAGAACTACAAGTGTGCGAAATTTCAACTCCCTAGCACATCTAAAAGTGGGTGTATCGCACTCCTTCACCGTCAATAAACGCCCTACTTTCAAAAATGTTGTAAATTTCTCTCAAACTTTAAACGGTTTTCACTATTTTTTCATACCTAAATAATTATTTTCCCCAAATCCAACGGAAGTCACATAGAACATCTTTAGTTTAAGGTAAAAAAACTTGAAGTGTTTTCCTTTAAAACAACACCAAAATCAGCTCTGTACCTTGTTTAATAAGATTTATATGAATTTTCAAAGTTGTAAAGTCCTTTTTGAATCACCCTGTATAATATTGGTAGTAGCCTACAGTTGTTTTTAAGTGTTTAATAACCTAGTAGGCCCTTGGCCTAATTACCCGTAGGTTCCTGAATGTTTTTTGTTTTGTATTATTACAGTTAGCCTACTTAAAACTTATGTATGAATAAATTTTATATCTGTCTAAGTTATCCATCTTAGTCTTAGCCATCTTAGTTTTTTTTAAACTTGTTTCGTTCCTTTAGTAAATTAATTATCCAAGCGACCTTTGGGGTTTAAGCTATGCTGTTAAATTGGTGGGGAAATATAGCAAAGCTGTCAAATTAATAAATTGCTGCTTTAAGCTCAGTCTAATGTATCTTCAATCATTTAACTTCAAAAGGTGTTAGGATAGTTATTTCTCCTAATATGAATTGCCTTTCCATTCAGTCTCCGCTTATTTTAACACTACTTTTCCCTGATCTAAATTTTTTTAATTTCTGTAGGCCTACAGTACCTAGGTAAGGAGGCTAAATTAAAGTTTTTTTTACTTTTGTGCAGTGACCCTGAAATTTTAATTTCACTTGTTGACACGGGAAATACTTTAAAACTTTTGCTAGTCGTTCTAAAGTTCTGAAACAATGTAAAAAATGCCCACTTCCTCATGTTCCTGATTAATTTGATGAACCCAGTGGACACTGTCACATTTTTATTTTTCCAGGCCAGTAAAATATTAATGATTTAATGATTCTTTTTGATGATATGGTTTGTTTGCGATCCACAGTTAATGATAAAACACTTTTCACAGAACTAATCAAAAACTCTTCTGATGGAGTAGGGGATCCGAATTGTACCCGTCCAATGTGCATTCAATGCTGTATCATTTATCAATGAAATTTGCCTTTAAAGATAACATACTATGTGCTTATTTCAAAATGGATTAGATTGAGGACCCTTTACTTAACATCATCCTTAACACTTATCATACTACTTTTCTTCCAAACGTAAACTTCTTTATTAATCTAAACCTGAATTTAATTTTTTATTTAGAATGAAATATGAGGAACTTTCTACATAACTTCATGTGAGTGTCTTCGGAACTTATAATTTTCGGACATCAATAATTATTCATGGGTAGATCAAGAAGATCAAGTTCTTTGGAAGAAGTGGAAATGGAACCATCAGCCACTTCTCCTTTGCGTCAACCTAGATATGGCTATTCTCATGAAAGCATCGGAAGATTTTCAGAGCATTCATTACATTATCCATATCGCATACAAGATACTAAAACCTGTGGTAAGTTATTAAAAACACAGTAACTTAAAGAAAACTGGGGGTTTGTTTTACTTACAGGGCTTAGGGTACTTCTCTAAATCTATCTAAAGATATTTACAAGTTTGTTGGGTTTTTTTTCGGCCGACTCAGAAGCACACTGTACAAAGTTAGTAAAATTGTTATGAAACCCACTACACTCATGAGTTTTAACTCTAGAATAAATCCGACTTTAATGGTTTTTTACTTCTTGGAAGGAGACAAATTTAAGGTCTTGACTGTAAGTATTTTGTTGGTGGATTTGTGAACATTATTTGTGGTAAAAAACTCTTTCTCTTTTGATTTTTTTATTGAATGGTAGTTGCATGTATTTTGTGGATGTGGTAGTGATAACCCATTGTAAATAGGTATTTAATTTATTGTCACTAACGAGGTTTGTATAACAAAATGCAAGGGTTTTGTTTGCTAAAAAGGTCATTAACCTAAAGCAGGCACTTGCAGAGTTTGCCTGTGACATTTTATTTTGTAAAAAAACCTTGTAAATAAAAACTGGGTGTTGGTAGGCCTAGTCTTGTTCATATCACTATTCTGAGAAACACATTCCTAGAATTTCACTCACATGTTTTTACTTTATTGAAACAAAGGCTAAGGCCACACTGAGCAACCAGCGACCACCGGCAACAGAAAAATAAACGTGTCCGAGACATTTTGTGGTTGCGGTGACAAATACGCTCCCCGCGTTATCTTACAGCATTGGCTACACTAGACGACAAGTCTATCCCTTACACACTCACTTACAACGGTTTTCATGTCTATATATAGGAAATATGCAGTATATACAGAGGTGTCGATGCAAGTATGCAAAAACGTTCATGGATTCTTACTTATTTCCATAATCAATGACACGATTTTGAGAATAGAATATAACATCTTGAAACTCTATTTACTGGTATGGTTAAAAAAAATCAACTGAAAGGTTGAAATTTTTGCCTGGTTTGGCCACCTTGGGTGTCTTTGTCGCCATGACAAACACCCCTTTTGAATATTCATTGATAAAAGAGTATATATATTTTATTCAGTAGACTACTCGATATTAGAAACACAATAAATAACTTATGCTTAAATCACAGTATGATTTGGAACCTATAATGTAAGATTATAGAATTAGCCGCAAAAATTACACAACAGTTCAAATTATATGTTTATTCAGAAACACTGAAACATGTCCTGAAGAAACATATTGTTTGTGAATTACATAAGTATTTTAGTCTTATATTATTTCCAACAGCTCAGACAGGACCTGAAAACATGGATAAAAGTGACCTGAAAAAGAAAAGAAAAAGAAAAATATGTGCATAGGTCTATGATTCAAATTATAATCACTACAAAATAATTTTTGCCGAGCTATTGTGATTGTAACTGGTCACCAGTTATGCAACCGCAGCTAGAAATTCTGGTGACAGTAGCCTTAACAAGATATGACTGTGACCCCCTACAGTGTTTTACTGTAGCAGGGAAAATCACTCGCTTCTTTGGACGACTCAGCAACTGATCATACCTGACGGTCCCGCCACAGATAATGTTGTACTCTTATCTGACCTCACTTGTAAACCCATTAAAGCTCGTCCCTCAAATTGCAGCACATATTTAGTAATTATATTCTCTCCCAATTAGTTCCCTTTACTCTTTACCGAGTGAAAGTAGAGGCCTTAAGTTTTATGAGAGGTGTCTGTTTTTTCACTAGCATTTTATGTATAAGTACCTCAGTTCTACCTGATGCAAACGTAGATTATGTGATGATTGATGGTTATGTGGTGGTTTCAGGCCAAAGGTGGGATGACTGCCTCACCAGGATTCCGTATGCCACCCTCATCGCCACCATCATGTGCATGGTGGGCGTCGGGATTTTCTGCGGCACCATGCACCGAGGAATCACGCTCAGCAAGCTTATGCTCGACGAAGTGTTCCATATGAGATTTGCTTGGTGAGAAGTCATTCTAGTGTTTGTGTGTTAAACTATCTAGATCTCTGGGACCTTTTCAGTTAACTCACTACCACTGGTTTTTAGAGCTGTATATTAGAAATAGAAGTGGTAGGTAGTGAATTAAACTTTGGTTAGGTTAGTATAGAGTTAGAAAAACCTAACCTAACCTAACTACATTCCACTAGTGGACTAGTAGTAGTGAATTAACGGAAAAGGTCTGATCACTGTTCTGTTTGAATTTCATTTTTGGTTTATCACCTGAGGTCATTGGATTCCAGATCCCAAAACGTCATGAACATTTGTTTATAACTATAGGAAATGTCCGCAACACCCCTCTCATATAGGCTAACATGGATTTGGATTCTTGTCAAAAATTTCAAACAATTTGAACATCAAAGTTTGTAGGACAAACATGTATTGATGTGTTGCAAAATTGCACATTATTATGTGTTAGACTCACAATCTGGGAGCGAGCTGGCGTAGTGGTTAGAGCCAGAGCGCGGGACTTCAGTCCCTGAGGTCTCGGGTTCGATCCCCGCCAATTCACCAATGGATTTTATCTAAGTTATAATGCCGCAACCCCTAGGTCTAGCCTGAAGTAATGTGAAAAACAATCCCAGGCTCGTGCCTAGCGTCCTAGGGAAAAAAAAGAGACTCACAATCTACCAAACAATCAAGACATGTTATCTGTTTCTATTAAAAATGAAGACATGTTATCTGTTTCTATTAAAAAGTGTTGTTAGAAAAAAACAAGCAGTTTGTAAAAAGTAATACAGCTAACTTACACATGGACCGATGTAAACTGCACGGTTTCGCAGCTTAGTATGCAGTGCTTCCGTATTTCACTTTTTTATTCAGAATTTCATCTTTTTTCTGTAAATGGCCTTTCATTATGTAGTTGAGGCACACATGATACTGCTTTATTTTTACAGTATTAAGTCAAGGCTATTGTATAATAAACAAAAAGTCAGCTTAAACCTTAGAAGAAGTTCAGGTCATAGAACACACATAGGTTAGATAAAAACACAACATTGCATCCACTGGGGAACTTTGCCAAGTGTAGACACAGGAAGTTAACAAAATGGTTGACAATCTTTGTTTACACTTGATAAAGTCCCCCAGGGCACAAAAGATTTCATGTCTTTATCATAGGCCTAGTTAAAAATCCTGCCCTAGAGCCTTTTCTTGAACAAAATTAAATCTATTTGAATGAATTCGGACTTTCATTCATCTGACCTAGTGTGGATGAATGAGGTTTTACTGTACTCAAAAAATTATCATGTATGAATTTGAATCATCCAACATTGCTATGTAGACTGCTGACTCCGTTCTATAACTGTAATGTTATTTTGAAATATCAGTGGGTGGATAAGGCTGCCTCTACTTTAGGCTGTATCTAGTTTATTGTTACTTAATTGTTTTGCAGGTTGGACGCACTGAGGATGATATTTGTAATCCTGGGAGGTTGCATGGCTGCCCTGGGTCTGATGATACTGTTCGTTGGGTTCCTCGCCACGGGCGCTACCAGGGTACGAGTCTACCGCGCCTGGACTGCCAGAGTTAGCGGTAGAATATCTTGCGCTGTGGTAGGTTTTAGATATTGTATTTATTTAGTCACTGGTTTCCGGTTTTATTTCTGGACGATAATTGTGCAATATTTTGATTGTGGAAGACGACTGCAAAGGTTGGATGACTGAAAGTTTATGACAGATGACCACCAATTTGCAGCCATTGACTTTAAATGGAAGCTAGTTCTTCAAAGCATTTGAATTTTTGTTACTTCAAAATTACTTTTCCAAAATAAAAATCAAAGTTTTCTTTCTAATATTCATGTTTTTGTTTTTTCCTAAGTAGCCTTATTGTACATTGCAGTTATTGACCAATGCATTATATCTAGTTGTATCTGTTGTTAGATATATTTTGAGTTTATTACGTTTTATTTCTTTAAATTGATCCAATCGTACACAACATGAGACTCTTTAGTACAATTTTTGAATATTTGAACAGGGCCCAGTAGCAAATTGTTAGGATATACTCTCCTCTGTATCATATTCTTTGAGACACCCATGATAACTGACCTAAGACTATTCAAGATTGTGTTTTGCAGTTCCTGGGGTTGAGCTATGTACTGCAACTGGTGTGGATCTTAATCTTCTGTTTCCTGCTCATTCTAACGACCATGTTCACAATGTTCTTTGGCCTTTGTACATCACATCGAGTGAGGGAGGAACATCAGTGTATAGACTTCACACAGTTTGGTAAGTGTACTTTAACTAGTGATATAGTGGGGCGGGGGGAACGCATTCAAATCAAATCAAATCTCTTTATTGCCATTGGAGCAAAGAGTTATGTCTTGTGTCATGCGCATGACAATCCCTTTTAACAACTAAATTACTTAAATTACTTTTTACATCAACTAAACATACAAATATATACAGATTAATTACAGTTAATATCTTAGTGCTGGTAAATAAAGACCTACAATGGAGCCTTAAATGGAGATCTAGTTACCTATTATTCGCAAGGCTTTCTTCTGCATTAACAAAACATCTTCAATACAACTACTGTTCCCCCAGAGATTCAAACCATAACTTAAAATATATTTAAAAAAGCAAAATAGGCTACTCTAACATATTGATCAGGTACAACAGTTTTTAAATTATTTAACAAGTTTAAAACTCTAGACAACTTCTTACAGACATAACTGTCATCACTGACAATTATAGATCACTGTCAATAAGCACACCTTAGAATTTTTACAGCCTCATTTTTCACTACCTCACACCCTATATTCTTATTTTTTGTTAGGCAAATAAGATGTTGTGTTATTTCTACATTGAGAACTAGGTTATTAGCACCAAACCATAACCAGCTTTCTCCATTGTTTTATCTACAGCTATCTTAAGACTATTGTAATTTGAATGTACAGTTAGAAAAGTAGTGTCATCCACAAACATTGTGGTTGAGGATCCCTCAATATGAAGTGGCGTTACCTGGTTTTAGTCTTCGGTAAAAACAATCATCATTAGACGAGGGTCATATATTAAGTAAGGGCCGTTTTTGCATATAGCTCCGTGGTTCGCGTGTACACCGAAATGAGGCTCCTAACCTTACTGGCATCGTTTGTGACACATTTACAGCTCTGCAAATACCTGGAACTTGCAAGTGATTTTGGTGACTTTGGTTGCATGTACAAAGGTTTGAAACCTAAATATTTATTTACAAGTAGATCCTAGACTTCTCACATGGATTAGCCTATTCTCATTTTTGTTGTTAGCCTGTGGATGATTTTGAATATATTAATTGGTGTAAATACCTACTTTGATGTAATTCGACATTTTTCTAATGCCACATGCACATCTAGTTTCAACTTTCAAGAAGTCATCTTCAGACCTAGATCCTATGTACTATTGTCAGTCGAAACCTTCTGATGAAGTAATCATGACATTCTTTGACACCTGAGAGTCAAAACTAATATTGGCATTAGCAACATTTTGAATAAATTATCCAACCATATAATGAAAAATCACAGATTGACATCTTGTTTTAGACTTTGTGTTCCCTGTCAACACGAGAGCAGAAGACATGAAGGTGTGTGAGGCTCAAGAGATCAAGTTGTTCTGCAAAGATTACGTAGAGAAGGCTGAAATGATGTTCATATTTGCCACCATAGCTTGTCTCCTTGTTATCCTCAGTTTGGTAAGTTCCTTGGTTGTCTTGCGTTGAAGTCAGATACTAATGAGTTTAAGGCCCCTATTACACGAGGTAGCCTGGCGACGTCGCCAGCGGCAGTAGCTGGCGACGCACTGGCCACCAAACCTATAACCAGTTGAGTAGCCAGAATTTTACCGCCGTGGCGCCGTTGTTGTGAGTGCTTGTCTTGCACTTGTACTTGTTATGAGCGGTGTTTACAGTGAATAATGAGTGATTATAAGTATCTTCTCCTTCTGTTACTTCTGAAGAAAATGAGGCAAAGGAAGAGAAAAATGTACGTTCATCCAATGCTTAGTGCAAGAGAATCAAAAGGGTTATATTACACCCTTTTTGATGAGCTCTGTGCGGACAATAAAAAATGTTTAAATTATTTTTGTATGTCACAATCCAGTTTCTTCGAGTCGTAAAGGATGATATAGACATTTTATCAACTGAAGTGAACAATTCACACACTCACAACACAACAGAACGCAACACAACAGTGTGCAAGTACCCCCGTGATATGAACTAACCGAGTGGCGACGTGATACTGGCGACCTAGTGTAATAAGCTCCATATGCTACAACGCAGCGTCGCCAATATGGGTAGCCAGTGGCTACCACAGTGGCGACGGGGCTCGGTAGCCAGTCGGTCGCCAAAGTGTGGCTGCGTCGCTGGCTACCCTCGTGTAATAACATCCATAACAATCAATGCCCCATGACAAGCTGAGTAGCCAGTTTGGTCGCTGGCGACGTCGCCAGGCTACCTCGTGTAATAGGGGCCTAATGGTTAGAGTGTGAAAAGTTTGTCTTATAGTCACAGATTCAGATCCTGCCAAACCCCAATGACTTTAGCTATTAGATAAAAGATAGTTTGGCAATTAGGCTTGTAGGGGTCAAACCTAGGTTAGGATAAGGTCACAGGAATAACACAAGAGTAGACATTGGCCAATTGAATGGCACCATGCATTTGTTTACTTTTAACCTTTTGTCGGTCGCACTGTATCATTATGATATAAGCAATAACCTTTTCGGCCGCCATTTTTTTCGTGCGTGCACCGATTGCTATCCCCTCACTAATGGACTCCCCCTTCCCTATCCCGAACCTGCCAGTGCTGAACTTGACCTTCCCCAGGGGACATGTTTTTTTATTGTATCAATTTGAACAGTGCGACATTCCCTGATGAAAATTTGTGTGTATCATTTTGATTCAGTGCAACCATGGATGTTTTTTTAAAACATGTCTAAACAAAGAAATATTATGATTAAGACACTGTTAGTGATCGAGCAAAAATATTCCAAATACAACATAGTCATAGAATATTTTTAAACATTATAACAGTCAAATCAATCATTGCAAAGACATCAAAACAATGTGTAAATTTAATTGTATCAATTAGATACATCAATTAGATTACCCTTCTGGTAATTATTTAGGTGCTGGTGCTACCGACGTAGGGTTAATATTTGGCAAGAAACTATTCATACGAAGTAAAGATGGATCATAGACGAAGACGACACAGTTGACAAAAGAGAAAAGGAGTATATGGTTTCAGTTTTAGTATATGGAGTATATGGTTTTTTTTAGTAGGTCATTGTGACTTTCATTAGGTTAAGGATGTTACATTTTAACTTTTCTTTGAATGGATATCTGAACAGCTATTTTCTGTTTAGGTCCACTACCTGATGTGTTTGGCAGCCAACTACGCACACATCCGGGACCATGAGAAGCTGCAAGAACTACAAGAGTTGCAATACCTCGCAGACCCGGACATGGGCTCCAAGGACCGATTCTAGGATCGAGCACAAGAAATCTTCCGGGTGGACACTTTCAGGGTCTCCAGGCCTCCGCGATAACTGCCTTCAGCTTGGCAGCAGCCTTAACTCAGCGATATAATTAATGCTTTCTGTGCAAGGATTTTTAGATTGTATGGTGTTAGGATAACTGGGTCTGAAATTGTGTAGGAAATTATATGCTCCTCTTGAAGCACATAAATAAATCAATAAGTTGTTCGGCAATCTTATTGAAATTATGAAATTATTTCTGTCAGTTTATTATTTCTCTTTTTGGGGATTTAGTGCAATTTTATTGGATGAATTGAGAAAATTATTTAGGACCAACATATTCTGTAATTTAATTGTTTAGTTCAAATTATACTGTGGAGCTTAGTCTCCACAACCATTCAAATTACAATACACAATACACAATACAATACACATTACAATACACTGCCTGAGATTATGCGTCCTAACACCTAGAAACAACAAAAATAGCAGAGCTGACAGTAGGGTTACTATTAGTCTATATTTGAATTTTTTTTATGTTCAGATTTCTGATAGCTCCAAACTTGGTTCCATTGCACAGTATGATTTAACCTATATACAATTTTAATGCTGCTGCCAATCTCTTGAAATAGGTTTTTTCTAGCTTCTAGCCAAATAGTTTTTATATTTTCTATTCTTCTTAGTATTAATTGTTATCACTTGGCTCTTGTATATTTGTGTAAACTACTTCTAGTGTATTTTCTTTGAACGACTGAAGGAATTTGTTTGACCTTTTTATGTCTAGTTTAATTATTTTGTGGTTTAAAAGTGCATTACATCAACAACGAAGTGTAAAGTGTTCAACCCGGAGATTTCTTGTGTATATTGTTTACTAATAGTTTTGTAAGGACAGAAACAATATGACGAGTGTTAGATAGTTGTGCTTATATTGTCTTTCACGATGACATTCCAAGTCTATAATATTGAACTTTACGTAATAGACATATAGACTTTTTCTTACTATTCACCGAAGAGTTAGTTATAGTAGCATTGTCTGTGCCTTTTTGAATTGCCTTTATAGTTATTATTGTATTGAAAACAGTATTGTAGGCTACGTCACTTAGCTTTCTCACCTAAAGATTGTTAAGGCATTACCAATCTGTTAGTTAATGTACAAAATTGTCCGTCCTAGTAGTTAAGATGAGTTTTCTATAGTCTGTTAAGAGTCAAAGTTTTCTATTTTTATAAGTAGGTATACAATTTAAAACTTCTCTATAAATGTTTAAGTCAGGGTAAAATAGTGGTTCAGTTAAAGGAAGGTTACAAGCTATTAATTCGCTGAACTTATCACCACAGTACAGTAACTGATGTATGGTCCATATCATTTGAAACTGGAATTATCTTTCTTGATATCTGTAGATTCTTTTAACAATGTTGGACCAAACACATAAAAAATAATTAAGTTGTTATTGAGGATATTAGCACAAACTTTTAAATTTGTAAGCTCAACATTTGCCAATGGTCTTCTATGTGCAATTGACATGACAATATCATTTCAACACTATGTAAGAAATGTGTTTATTGAATTTATAAGGTTTAGCTGAATTATTCTATGGAGATGCATAGCATAAACACACACATGATATGCCGTATGTGCTGTTTCAATGTTTTCTGAGACAGACGATGCCACATAAGAGATTAAGTCATTGGTTGGTTTCGGACAAGACTGTTTATTATGTTACTTCAGTGTGTAATCCACCTTAGCCAACTAAGAGCATAAACATAATTCCATTATTTTGTAAATATCATATATTTCATTCATTTTTCATTCCATTTCTTAGTTACATTGAACACTTAATCTTTGTTCAGGTTTTTTCAAGTGTTGAAATACCAAACGTAGTAGTGGTGTGTCAGACCAAATCTCAAAATTAGGGATGTGTCGAATCCACCGAATCCTACAAAAAGATTTGGATTCAAGATTCAATTAACAAGATTCAAGAATTTTTTTTTAGAATAGAATCTTTGACTATTAATACAACTTAAGTATTCAATAGTCAATGATAGAATTAAAAGGCATATATACTGTGACATTGCATAACCATAAAGGTTATTGATGTTGTAATATACAGTACTGTGACATTGCCATTTTATGAACATAGTATACGATTCGTTGATCAACGAATTTAAAATTAACAAGTGTACCTACAACAACCATGAATAACCAATAATGAATATTTGCCCTCCAAATAAAGTATACCGACGGAATGTTCGATTTAGGTTAAACTGTTAAAGGTGTAACCAATTAGTGGTCTGTTATTTTCACCATGTGTCAAAAGTAATTAAGTAACTTTTCATTGCAAAGAGTAGTCATTTATGGTTAGTGTAGTATTAATTTTAAACGGTGCCTATTCCATTATTGTTTTTTATATCACCATAAGCCCATTTGTAATTATTTTTGGTACTCGAGATTCAATTTTTTAGGATTCGGATTCGATATTCCTGGATTTGACCATCACTACTTAAAGCCATCAAAACTTTAAAAAAGTTTCGGTTTCGAAATTGAAAATGTTGGCACTTTTATTTTTGAAACTGCTGACATCTGTTGTCTCATACATTATTATTGTTTGTGACACTGGTTACACAAAAGCTGGTAGCTATGGAGCAAACAGATCACCATTAACACTAATGAAACAAGTAAATTGTATACTGAACTACAAGTCATTTTAAATATACGAAGTAGGAACAACTTACAACTTAATAAATTCTTTATTCAATTTAATTTCTATACAATTTAATTTAATTAATATTGATATTTATTAAAGACAAAGAAATATTGACCACTAAATGTTCTAATTAATCCAATACAGTAGACCCCCTCTTAACCGACCTCGTATTAACCGATAATCGGATTATCCGCCTTTGATCGTAAAATAATACAGTTTGTTTTAACCGACCTTGCTTTTAGAGTAGCTCGGTTTAACCGCCGCTTTCTAGGAATCTCGGCATTTCCGCTCCCATGCTGGGTGATGAGAACTGAACCATACGCTTATCTCCACAGGATATGACTAACAATAAGTTATTTTGTGATGGTCACAAAAAATATAGCATAGCCTATTGTCAGTTTGTCATCATCGTTCGTAGCTCGAGCACATCTGATCTGATTTGTTATCTGTGCGGCAAATTTATAACATCATAAAGTGCGTTACGATTTTGAGAACTGATTATCTTATCGCTGGAGTAAACAAACAACGCAACTTGTAGGGAGGGCAGGGAAGGGGTGTTAACAACTCCAAGGTCAAGATAGTTTTTGTGCCTGGAGCACAGACAATATAATTGGAGCCTCCAGTGAGAGGCTATAAATAAACGTCCTGTCTTGTAACAAAATGGTCGCTTGTATCTTTAATGACGACAAAAGGTTCTTTACTGTATTACGATGTATTTGGAAAGCATTAATTAATACATTACAGTATTAAAGTTATTAAAATAGGAATTTTATTGACTCTTGCCTAGTATTATAATATATTCACTGAAAGTAGGCCTATTTGACTTAACCGTGTTTTGTGTTTATTTGTGACATTTCTATCTATATGGAAAATGAGATAAGAGTAGTTTATTTTATAAATAATGCAAGTATGACTTCAAAATAATGATTATATAATTCCAAATGAATAGCACTTTATTATGTTATGATTTTAGGGATTGCCCGTTTTATCCGACCTTTTGAATCATCCGACCTAGGTCCGGTCCCATTAGGGTCGGTTAAGAGGGGGTCTACTGTATTCACGTTTATATTAGTGTCAGGAGTTTCATTTATTTTAATGTTAGTTGTTTATAAAAAAATGTTGTTTTGGGTTTAAAGTTTATCACTATCAGTCACATATTTATGTTATTATGTCTGGATAAGAAGTCAATCTCTTTCAGTTTTGATCGCATAGTGAAAATGCTATCATTACCTGTATTTTTGGCAACCTTGACCAGGTAACTAAAAAAGTTTCGAGATAGGTTTTGAGATTCGGGATTTGATTTTTTAAGTTACGGTTTTGGTTTTGAGATTTGAAATTTCTGGTTTTGACCATCACTAAAACGCAGGATTACGGAAAGCCTGAAAAGCAGAGTTTTATTGTATGATATACTTACTTTAGTATATCTTGTTCATTTTCCATTCTTCATTGTTTTCAGAGATCTCTCATAATGTGTTTTATTATTTCTAATTTTGTACTGTTTAGTAGGTAATTATAGATGTTATTATCCATTGTGTAATTAGTTAAGTAATTAATGTCAACATATGCTACAGGATAGCTTCCAGCAGTAGCAATGATTGGTGATGCTTGTTAGAAAGTTTATTCTTACTAAGGGAATGGCAATTAATTTATTTTAGTTTGCAGATGCATTTGCTGACGGGTAATCTTGCATTTTTATTCATGAACTAGCACACCTCTTCTAAACAGCACAAGTCAAAATTAAGCATAAACACTGGATACCAAGTTATACCCGGTAATCATGATTTCTATTCAAATAGGGAATAATTCAATTACTGTTAAACAGTATGAATTGTATAACATATGATTTCTTCTCAAATCTTTTAAAACCAGTTTTTGTTTGAATTTCATACGGTATGTGTTTGTTTAGATTATTTATTTTATTTTATTTTATTCATATTTTTATTTATTTATTCAGTATGAATTGTACAACACATGATTTCTTCTCAAATCTTTTAAAACCAGTTTTTGTTTGAATTTCATACGGTATGTGTTTGTTTAGATTATTTATTTTCAAAATGGTACAAGCTCAAACCTTTTATATTGAAAATTGTTTACATATGGAAGAATTGTAATAGTTTTTCTTCATACTCAGTTAAAACCATCAGCACTTTAAGCTTTATATTTGTTACTCTATGAATAAGCTCAAACTATTATAATTTTATTTTATGTTTACCTACTTAATTACAGTACACTACTGTTACTGGAATTTAATTTTAAGAAATTTCATACATTTTGTAACCAATCTACCTTTTTTAATTTTTTATCCCACTTATATAAAGTATTGTATTTTGAAATACACTGTTTACTATTCTTACTTCTTTTATAATTCCTAATTTTCACCAATGATACAAAAAAATGTGAAATGTTGATAAAAAATACTTATAATAGTGAAAACCCTCACTGACTCACTAACTGATTCATCACTAATCCTCCAATCCAATTTTAAGACTAGCTACAGAGCTGAAATTTGGTTTCCAATTTATTTCATATAAAAATAGGAGTAAAATAGTTTCCATACCAAACTGTATACATTTTTTCTTGAAATTTACTATCCAGAATTTTCAGTCCTTCAGGGATAGCAATAAAAACCACTATTTTTCATAAAATGTGTATTCTGTTCAAATATGTCATAAAAATGACATGAATAATAAGTAAGCAGTTAAAAGTCTGAGGGTTAGCCTATGAGTTCTTCTAATATCTCTGGGAATTCCCTTAAAACGACTTTTTCCTCTGTAAATTGGTTGAAAGTAAAATGAACAATTCATTTTTGTATAATATTTATTTAAGTTTAACAGAATTTCACTTCTTTCAATTCATCTTGTGTTTTCATAATGGAACAAAAGTTATAAAAATCTGATTGGTCTGTGTTGGAGGGAAACAAAGTCAAAAGAAATTGACAAATAAAAAAGTCCAGTAATATTGATTATTTGAAGTAGAACTTTGGATTTTGTGCAAGTGTGGTACTTAGGCAAAAATCAACCCATCGCTATAATTTCCTCAATCACATAATCATTTATATATTAAGTCGACTTCAACCAAAATGAAGGTTCAAGCTTATGTTAATTTTATTTTTAACTGTTGTAAGCTAAGTGATTACTTGCATCAATTAAATCTAAAGCATTGGGTACAGTATCTGCAAAAGTATTATGTCATTTTGAATTAATTCAATACATTTATGAAATCACTGCAAATGTTTTATGACAACTGTGAATCCCCCCCATGGCTCAAATTTATTGCAGAGCTTTTTTTAATTTTTGAAATATATATATTTTTTTAGGAAAACTGTAGTGATTAGGGCTACTATTTTGATATGTAAATGCATTATTAAAACTAAGTACCCTTTTTTTTTATGTGTTTGTTTAGATTATTTATTTTATTTTATTTATTTATTCAGTATGAATTGTACAACACATGATTTCTTCTCAAATCTTTTAAAACCAGTTTTTGTTTGAATTTCATACGGTATGTGTTTGTTTAGATTATTTATTTTCAAAATGGTACAAGCTCAAACCTTTTATATTGAAAATAAAATGAATTAAAAAAAAGGGTACTTAGTTTTAATAATGCATTTACATATATTTTTTTATATGGCTATTGAGCTGCTTAGTCTGGTACTCATTTCAATAAAGGCTAAATAACTCAGAGTTTGATTAATACTTTTGAGCAACTTTAATTTACCAATCAAATTAAGATAACAAATACAACTTTAAGTACAGAAAAAAAACATACATTAAACGCTTAAAAACTAGTTTAAATTAATTTGATCTCTTCAATAGTATATATTTCTACACTTTTTAGTTATATATACATTACTAAACGTTTGCATTCAATATTTACAAGTACCTATAAAAAAATCTGAGTTTTAAGGATTACCTATTATTACTTTCAATATTCAAACAAATTACCACTTATCTCTTAAGTGACCAGCCTCCTTACTTGGTAAAGAACTAACATGTTCAACAGAGATGGTATTTTCGCTATCTGATGGTACGAGGTCTCTGACGCTTGTCAGCTGGCAGGAAGTGCCACAGAATGTCAGGGACTTGCGCCAGTTTGTGCCGAACGGTGTCAGGCAAACTGTGAGTGTCTGATGTGCGGTAACGTGCCGTCCGAGAACCGTCTCGGTACTCAATAGTGCCGGCCGGTTCATTGTAGGCAAGCTCAGTGCCGTCACGGTACATGATCTTCAGCTCACCACCCGGTTTCTAAAAAATAAAGGATTAGTTTCAGCAGAAATTCAAATTAGTTTGAGTTTCGTATGGGTTTGGTCATAATAGCAAAAAAAGTTGAAAATCTTTGAGACAAAGTTCAGTACTAGCTGAATGGTAATATATTCTTAACATTAACTTTTGGAAATTTTTACTAAGAGAAAATGTATGTACGGTAAGGTAAAACTATGATGGTACCAAGTTACTTTAAAAAATTACAGTAGTCCTAGTCTAATGTAATGGTATATTACGTTATTAGTCCTGAAAATAAGTGTTTACCGGACGAGTCCGGTACACACATTTTGGACGAGTTACGTAACATAGTTTACGCCATACTACTAAATCTGTACAAATCCTTATATATTTCCACCAACTAAAGGACTAAAAATCACTAGTCATAACCTTATGTTTTTGTTTATAACCATTCATTGCCACCTAAATACAGTATAATCAGCTGATTAGTGTCCAGTAAAACTCATTGCAGTACAGTAGTACGCAATGAAACCCCATTTGAATAAGCTGGCGGCAAACAGCTGTTTTCTGGACTAAAATCATTGCGTGGGAAGTTCGTCGAAATAATGTAAATATATTACTGCAATAGTTTTAAATGTTTGGTAAGATTTGGCAAAAATTCTCTTTTTGCCATACTACTTTGTTTCAATGGACTTTCCACGCAAGAATCTAGTCTGGAAAACAGCTGTTTGCCACTTGTTTAATCAAATGGGTTTAGTTACTTACTACTACTACTGTATGGTAATGAAATATTACTGGGACACCAGCTGATTATAATTAGCAATGAGTGAACGCAAACGCAGAATGCAAGTAACGTGTTTTTTCCATTACAACTATGTGTCACCTGAATCTAAATACTGAAAGGCACCAAAACATAGAGATAGAACATTTTCTTAGCTTCAAATAGGTACACTCTCATCACTCTTTGTCAATCATCAAAATATTTATTCTTGATTTAAAAACCGCTACGGTTTGGGCAAAATGGCCAACTGACAAAACAACAGATTTCAAAGTAGTATATTAAGTTACCAGTCCTGAAAATAGGTGTCCTGTAGATTTTAGACGTGTGACGTACGATATTTTACGCTATACTACTAAATCTGTACAAATCCTCATACATTACCACCTACTAAAGGACTAACAATCACTAGTCATAACCTCTCAGAGAGGTTATGTTTTTGTTTATAAACACTCATTGCCAAATGCAGTATATGGAGTATCAGCTGTTTGGTGTCCGGTAAAACTCATTACAGTACAGCAGTACGTAATGAAA